CCGCCCCATTCTCCCGCTTTCCATCACCCCGCCCCATTCTCCCGCTTTCCATCACCCCGCCCCATTCTCCCGCTTTCGATCACCCCGCCCCATTCTCCCGCTTTCCATCACCCCGCCCCATTCTCCCGCTTTCCATCACCCCGCCCCATTCTCCCGCTTTCCATCACCCCGCTCCATTCTCCCGCTTTCCATCACCCCGCCCCATTCTCCCGCTTTCCATCACTCCGCCCCATTCTCCTGCTTTCCATCACCCCTCTCCATTCTCCCGCTTTCCATCACCCCGCCCCATTCTCCCTCCTTCCATCACCCCGCCCCATTCTCCCTCCTTCCATCACCCCGCCCCATTCTCCCGCTTTCCATCACCCCGCCCCATTCTCCCGCTTTCCATCGCCCCGCCCCATTCTCCCGCTTTCCATCGCCCCGCCCCATTCTCCCGCTTTCCATCGCCCCGCCCCATTCTCCCTCCTTCCATCGCCCCGCCCCATTCTCCCTCCTTCCATCGCCCCGCCCCATTCTCCCTCCTTCCATCGCCCCGCCCCATTCTCCCTCCTTCCATCGCCCCGCCCCATTCTCCCGCTTTCCATCGCCCCGCCCCATTCTCCCGCTTTCCATCACCCCGCCCCATTCTCCCGCTTTCCATCACCCCGCCCCATTCTCCCGCTTTCCATCACCCAGCCCCATTCTCCCGCTTTCCATCACCCCGCCCCATTCTCCTGCTTTCCATTACCCCGCCCCATTCTCACGCTTTCCATCACACCGCCCCATTCTCCCGCTTTCCATCACCCCGCCCCATTCTCCCGCTTTCCATCACCCCGCCCCATTCTCCCGCTTTCCATCACCCCGCCCCATTCTCCCGCTTTCCATCACCCCACCCCATTCTCCCGCTTTCCATCACCCCGCCCTATTCTCCCGCTTTCCATCACCTCGCCCCATTCTCCGGATTTGCATCACCCCGCCCCGTTCTCCCGCTTTCCATCACCCCGCCCCGTTCTCCCGCTTTCCATCACCCCGCCCCATTCTCCCGCTTTCCATCACCCCGCCCCATTCTCCCGCTTTCCATCACCCCGCCCCATTCTCCCGCTTTCCATCAGCCCGCTCCTTTCTCCCGCTTTCCATCACCCCGCCTCATTCTCCCGCTTTCCATCACCCCGCCCCATTCTCCCGCTTTAAATCACCCCGCCCCATTCTCCCGCTTTCCATCACCCGCCCCATTCTCCCTCCTTCCATCACCCCGCCCCATTCTCCCTCCTTCCATCACCCCGCCCCATTCTCCTGCTTTCCATCACCCCGCCCCATTCTCCCGCTTTCCATCACCCCGCCCCATTATCCCGCTTTCCATCACCCCGCCCCATTCTCCCGCTTTCCATCACCCCGCTCCATTCTCCAGCTTTCCATCACCCCGCCCCATTCTCCCTCCTTCCATCACCCCGCTCCATTCTTCCTCCTTCCATCGGCCCGCCCCATTCTCCCGCTTTCCATCACCCCGCCCCATTCTCCCTCCTTCCATCACCCCGCTCCATTCTTCCTCCTTCCATCGACCCGCCCCATTCTCCCGCTTTCCATCACCCCGCCCCATTCTCCCTCCTTCCATCACCCCGTCCCATTCTCCCGCTTTCCTTCACCCCGCCCCATTCTCCCGCTTTCCATCACCCTGCCCCATTCTCCCTCCTTCCATCACCCCGCCCCATTCTCCCGCTTTCCATCACCCCGCCCCATTCTCCCGCTTTCCATCACCCCGCCCCATTCTCCCACTTTCCATCACCCCGCCCCATTCTCCCGCTTTCCATCACCCCGCCCCATTCTCCCGCTTTCCATCACCCCGCTCCTTTCTCCCGCTTTCCATCACCCCGCCCCATTCTCCCTCCTTCCATCACCCCGCCCCATTCTCCCGCTTTCCATCACCCCGCCCCATTCTCCCGCTTTCCATCACCCCGCCCCATTCTCCCGCTTTCCATCACCCCGCCCCATTCTCCCGCTTTCCGTCACCCCGCCCCATTCTCCCGCTTTCCGTCACCCCGCCCCATTCTCCCGCTTTCCATCACCCCGCCCCATTCTCCCGCTTTCCATCACCCCGCCCCATTCTCCCGCTTTCCATCACCCCGCTCCATTCTCCCACTTTCCATCACCCCGCCCCATTCTCACGCTTTCCATCACCCCGCCCCATTCTCCCGCTTTCCATCACCCCGCCCCATTCTCCCGCTTTCCATCGCCCCGCCTCATTCTCCCGCTTTCCATCACCCCGCCCCATTCTCCCGCTTTCCATCGCCCTACTCCATTCTCCCGCTTTCCATCACCCCGCCCCATTCTCCCGCTTTCCATCACCCCGCCCCATTCTCCCGCTTTCCATCACCTCGCCCCATTCTCCCACTTTGCATCACCCCGCCCCATTCTCCCGCTTTCCATCACCCCGCCCCATTCTCCCTCCTTCCATCACCCCGCCCCATTCTCCCGCTTTCCATCACCACGCCCCATTCTCCCGCTTTCCATCACCCCGCCCCATTCTCCCGCTTTCCATCACCCCGCCCCATTCTCCCGCTTTCCATCACCCCGCCCCATTCTCCCGCTTTCCATCACCCCGCCCCATTCTCCCCCTTTCCATCACCCCACCCCATTCTCCCGCTTTCCATCACCCCGCTCCATTCTCCCGCTTTCCATCACCCCGCCCCATTCTCCCGCTTTCCATCACCCCGCCCCATTCTTCTGCTTTCCATCACCCCTCTCCATTCTCCCGCTTTCCATCACCCCGCCCCATTCTCCCTCCTTCCATCACCCCGCCCCATTCTCCCGCTTTCCATCACCCCGCCCTATTCTCCCGCTTTCCATCACCCCGCCCCGTTCTCCCTCTTTCCATCACCCCGCCCCATTCTCCCGCTTTCCATCACCTCGCCCCATTCTCCCGCTTTCCATCACCCCGCCCCATTCTCCCGCTTTCCATCGCCCCGCCCCATTCTCCCTCCTTCCATCACCCCGCCCCATTCTCCCGCTTTCCATCGCCCTGCCCCATTCTCCCGCTTTCCATCGCCCTGCCCCATTCTCCCGCTTTCCATCACCCCGCCCCATTCTCCCGCTTTCCATCACCCCGCCCCATTCTCCCGCATTCCATCACCCCGCCCCATTCTCCCGCTTTCCATCACCCAGCCCCGTTCTCCCGCTTTCCATCACCCCGCCCCGTTCTCCTGCTTTCCATTACCCCGCCCCATTCTCACGCTTTCCATCACACCGCCCCATTCTCCCGCTTTCCATCACCCCGCCCCATTCTCCCGCTTTCCATCACCCCGCCCCATTCTCCCGCTTTCCATCACCCCGCCCCATCCTCCCGCTTTCCATCACCCCACCCCATTCTCCCGCTTTCCATCACCCCGCCCTATTCTCCCGCTTTCCATCACCTCGCCCCATTCTCCGAATTTGCATCACCCCGCCCCGTTCTCCCGCTTTCCATCACCCCGCCCCGTTCTCCCACCTCCCATCGACCCGCCCCGTTCTCCCGCTTTCCATCACCCCGCCCCATTCTCCCGCTTTCCATCACCCCGCCCCATTCTCCCGCTTTCCATCACCCCGCCCCATTCTCCCGCTTTCCATCACCCTGCCCCATTCTCCCACTTTCCATCACCCCGCCCCATTCTCCCTCTTTCCATCACCCCGCCCCATTCTCCCTCTTTCCATCACCCCGCCCCATTCTCCCGCTTTCCATCACCCCGCCCCATTCTCCCGCTTTCCATCACCCCGCCCCATTCTCCCGCTTTCCATCACCCCGCCCCATTCTCCCGGTTTCCATCACCCCGCCCCATTCTCCCGCTTTCCATCACCCCGCCCCATTCTTTCGCTTTCCATCACCCCGCCCCATTCTCCCTCTTTCCATCACCCCGCCCCATTCTCCCGCTTTCCATCACCCCGGCCCATTCTCCCGCTTTCCATCACCCCGCCCCATTCTCCCGCTTTCCATCACCCCGCCCCATTCTCCCTCTTTCCATCACTCCGCCCCATTCTCCCGCTTTCCATCACCCCGCCCCATTCTCCCTATTTCCATCACCCCGCCCCATTCTCCCGCTTTCCATCACCCCGCCCTATTCTCCCGCTTTCCATCACCCCGCCCCGTTCTCCCTCTTTCCATCACCCCGCCCCATTCTCCCGCTTTCCATCACCCCGCCCCATTCTCCCGCTTTCCATCACCCCGCCCCATTCTCCCGCTTTCCATCACCCCGCCCCATTCTCCCTCTTTCCATCACCCCGCCCCATTCTCCCGCTTTCCATCACCCCGCCCCATTCTCCCTCTTTCCATCACCCCGCCCCATTCTCCCGCTTTCCATCACCCCGCCCCATTCTCCCTCTTTCCATCACCCCGCCCCATTCTCCCGCTTTCCATCACCCCGCCCCATTCTCCCGCTTTCCATCACCCCGCCCCATTCTCCCTCTTTCCATCACCCCGCCCCATTCTCCTGCTTTCCATCACCCCGCCCCATTCTCCTGCTTTCCATCACCCCGCCCCATTCTCCCCCTTTCCATCACCCCGCCCCATTCTCCCTCTTTCCATCACTCCGCCCCATTCTCCCGCTTTCCATCACCCCGCCCCATTCTCCCTCTTTCCATCACCCCGCCCCATTCTCCCGCTTTCCATCACCCCGCCCCATTCTCCCGCTTTCAATCACCCAGGCCCATTCTCCCTCTTTCCATCACCCCGCCCCATTCTCCCGCTTTCCATCACCCCGCCCCATTCTCCCGCTTTCCATCACCCCGCCCCATTCTCCCGCTTTCTATATGCAGCAACATTCGAGTCGTTTGATGTTTTTCCCTACGCCAACGCCTATAGGGATCAATGCGCTTCCTTAGCGTTCATGGGCACGCACGGCTGTCATCGCGGGCGCCGAACTTTTCTGTGCATGCGAACCAAGCTGAAGTTGCTCTGGTATGTGTATTTGAACCTTGGCCACCCGAATATGCAGCAGGGTCGTTCGATGTTTTTTCCTACGCCAACGCCTATAGGGATCCATGTGCTTTCTTAGCGTTTGTGGGCAGGCACGGCCATCATCGGAGGCGCCGAACTTTTCTTTGCGTACGAACCAAGCTAAATTTTCTCTGGTAGGTGTAATTGAACATGGGCCACCCAAAAATGCAACATTATTGGGGTCGTTCGATGCTATTCCCTACGCCTAGAAGGATCCATGCGCTTCCTTAGCGTTCGTGGGCAAATCTTTTCTGTGCGCGCGAACCAAGCTCAATTTCCTCCTCTTGTAGCTGTATTTGAACATGGGCCACCGGAATATGCAACAACATTCGGGTCGTTCGATGCTTTTCCCTACGCCTATATGGATCCATGCGCTTCTTTAGCGTTTTTGGGCAGGCACGGTGGTTATCGCGGGCGCCAAACTTTTCTGTGTGCGTGCACCAAGCTGAAGTTGTTCTGGTAGGCGTATTTGAACATGGGCCACCCGAATATGCAACAACATTCGGTTCGTTTGATGCTTTTCCCAATGCCTATTGGGATCCATGCGCTTCCTTAGCGTTTGTGGGCAGGCACGACCGTCATCGCGGGTGCCGAATTTTTCTGTGCGCGCGAACCAAGCTGAAGTTGCTCTGGTAGGTGTATTTGAACATGGGCCACCCAAATATGCAACAATATTCGGGTCGTTCAATGCTTTTCCCTACGCCTACGCATATCGGGCTCCATGCGCTTCCTTAGCGTTCGTGGGCAGGCACGGCCGTCATCGCGGGCGCCGAAATTTTCTGTGCGCACGAACCAAGCTGAAGTTGCTCTGGTAGGTGTATTTGAACATGGGTCACCAAAATATGCAACAACATTCAGGGCGTTCGATGCTTTTCCCTACGCCTATGAGGATTCATGCACTTCGTTACCATTTGTCGGCAGACACAGCCGTCATCGCAGGCGCCGAACTTTTTGGTGCGTACGAACCAAGCTGGAATTGCTCTAATAGGTGTATTTGAGCATGGGCCACCCGAATATGCAACAACATTCGGGTCGTTAGATGCTTTTCCCTACGCCTATAAGGATCCATGCGCTTCCTTTGCGTTTGTGGGCAGGCACGGCCGTCATCGCGGGTGCCGAACTCTTTAGTGCGCGCGAACCAAGCTGAAGTTGCTCTGGTAGGTGTATTTGAACATGGGCCATCCGAATATGCAACAACATTCGGGTCGTTCGATGCTTTTCCATACTCTTATATGTATCCATTCGCTTCTTTAGCGTTTGTGGGCAGGCACGGCCGTCATCGAAGGCGCCGAACTTTTCTGTGCCCGCGAACCAAGCTAAAGTTGCTCTGCTGGTGTATTTGAACATGGGCCACCCGAATATGCAGCAACATTCAGGTCGTTCGATGTTTTTCCCTACGCCTATAGGGATCCATTCGTTTCCTACGCGTTTGTGGGCAGACACTGCCGTGATCGCAAGCGCCGAACTTTTCTGTGCGCACGAACCAAGCTGGAATTGCTCTGGTAGGTGTACTTGAGCATGGGCCATCCGAATATGCAACAACATTCAGATCGTTCGATGCTTTTCCCTACGCCTTTAGAGATCCATGCGCTTCGTTACCATTTGTCGGCAGATACAGCCGTCATCGCAGGCGCCAGACTTTTCTGCGCTCACGATCCAAGCTGGAATTGCTCTGATAGGTGTATTTGAGTATGGACCGCCCGAATATGCAAGAATATTCAGGCCGTTTGATTCTTTTCCCAACGCCTATAGGGATGCATGCGCTTCGTTACCATTTGTCGGCAGACACAGCCATCAACGTAGGCGCCGAACTTTTCTGTGCGCACGAACCAAGCTGGAATTGCTCTCGTTGGTATATTTGAGCATGGGCCACCCGAATATGCAACAACGTTCAGGTCGTTTGATGTTTTTCCCTACGCCTATAGTTATCCATGCGCTTCGTTACCATTTATCGGCAGACACAGCCGTCATCGCAGGCGCCGAACTTTTCAGGGCGCACGAACCAATCTGATGCTCTGATAGGTGTATTTGAGCATGATACACTTGAATATGCAACAACATTCAGGTCGTTCGATGCTTTTCCCTACGCCTATAGGGATACATGTGCTCCGTTACATTTTGTCGGCTGACACAGCCGTCACTGGGCCTATTACCAAGACAGCAAGGGCATGGGAGGGTGACGAGCATCTTGCTGGCTTGGCAAACGCGTATAACCACGTGACCTAACAGAAGAAAAACGCTCGGAACGAGCTTTTTCAGCCCCAAAACGCGGGAGAATCCATGTGTTGAAAATGCAGCGGGCTTTTCATTCGCGAATACCAATGACATATCATGCTTGCCACCCTCCCACGCTCTTGCTGGCTTGGTAATAGGTGCAAAAGCATACAGCTAAGACACGCATTTTCGTTAACACCGAGCATTACAAGAGAGCTCATACCGTCACCCCCCGGATAAGCCCCCATGGGGCGTAATAATAAAACATGGTTTTTTAGGGGGGTGGGCTTATAATTGAGGGCGTATGCATGTTCGGGTCATGGGCACTGGTTTGGGCATCCGCAATTTGCGGATGACCCAAACAACATAAAACGCCACTTTGGGTCCTCCGAACTCATGTGACCCCCAAAGAGCCGCGAAGGTATTCGCGCCAAAATCAAGCTCCCCACAACAGTCGCATCCAATGGAGGGATGCCAGAACAATTTGAAATATCCTTAGCAAGACCCACGCGAAACCACGCGAAACCCACCGAAAAACACAATCTTCAAAATTCTCGGCATGAATCTCCAAATGTTGGGAGCGCGACGCGGGAAATTTTAGACACACTCATGGTCACTGGGGTCAATTTGCCGAGGGGTTGGGTGCAGAAGTGTAAGACGTGGGACATTGCCCACTTGTGACACTCGACTGACGACCGCAAAAAAAATGGCAGAAAATCCAGAATCGTGCAGCCATGTGATTGGTTGGGGGTGGGTCGTGTACGTCAGTCGCCCAACACCTGCACATTGACCCAAAGCTGGGGCCGCGCGCGGCTCGTCAGCCCACTTCGGGTCATGCGCAAATTCCGCATGACCCATGTTACGAATAGTGGTTAGTGAAAATACTATTGGTCACTCCTCACCGTAGCAAAGCCGAAGCACGCAGTATCGAGACAGAATACGAAAAGGCAGAAGTAATGCGAAGGGACAGACGGTTACGAAGAGCATCTGGACCGTCGAGCAGACAACATCAGGCAGCAGCAGTGGCGAGGATTCTGCCCGAACAGTTCCGTAACCACCCGGAGTCGCACGGTTGGATTTCGCTGCAATAAGGGAATGTACCCCTTAGAGTACATGGCTAGCTAGGTCGTTTCGTATTCCCCTGTACTCTTATTTATATTCCTTGCATTGCATGTTTTTATCATCTCAAGCATTTACATTCACTCTGCTATTGAGGTCAAGGGCCCACCACCGCTAGATTAGAAGTGTGCGAACCTTCCTGAGGTGATCCTGGATACGATCAACTTCTGATCGCAGCATGGTATGAGAGCGACTCAGGAATCCTTCGCACCGCCATCTCCGAAATCTGCGACATTCGGAAAGTGGCGTCCGGCACACGATCGCGTGTAAGAATGGCCGGAGGATCTGGAGGACAGACAAATCTGACGGCTGAAGCGCAGCCCAACCCGACTGCGACAAACGAGGAAACGACGACGATTCCTTCCGTCGTTCTCGCACAACTGCTTCAGCGACTCACGAGCCTGGAGCAAGGGCTCCAGACATTGCGGAATGGCGACGCGGGAACTTCCCCCCAACCCACTCAACCGGCGTCAAACGGCCAGAACTCCGCCCCGCAAGGCTTCTCTCTTGACACAAATGGCTCAACACCCAAGACTCCTTGTCCCAGCGATGAAGCAATTCTCTCTGCGCAATCAAGGTTTTTGAGCATATAAAAAAAAAAAAAGACAAGTCTGTGCTTTGACGGCAGAGACTTCTATACTTGGAGCTTCGAGCTGGAGCTGCTGCTGCAAAACGCGCAGATTTATCATTACTTTGACGGGAGCTACTCGGGACCTACGGAGGACACTGACGACGCAAAAACCAAGTACTACAACGAGTCCCTGATGGCGTACGGGGTTCTTCTGCGAAATATGTCGCCGACGGAGCAACTGAGCATTCGCTCATACAAGACTTCTCCAGCTCCCGCCCTCAACGCCTGGCGCCACCTAAACGGTGTGTACCAACCCAAGGACTCAGTGTCGTCGAGCCGCCTGCTCCAGCAGCTACTGGAGACAAAGATGGCAACGGGAGAGAAGGCCAACAGCTACCTGAATCGCTGTCGAAGCTTACGCGATCAAATCGCGAAATTGGGGAGCACGATTTCTGAAGAAATCTTCGTCAACATCGTGCTCCAAGGGTTAGGCCCAGAGTGGCGGCCCTGCAAGGCGCTTCTTCGACAGCAGGGGGTCATCTCGGAGGCCGCCCTTTGCGCCGCCCTTCTCGTCGAACAAAGGAATATGGACCAGCAGCGACCAGCGCCGCGACGAGATAGGGAGCGCCTCGCATTCTTCGCCGACAACACAGAAGAGCGACGGCCGCGGCGCCTCTACTGCAAAATCTGCAGAAATTTCGGGCACTTGGCGGATCGATGCAAGCATCGATCTCGTCCTCGCCAGACCAATCCGAGCAACTGGTCCGGCCGACAAGACGCGAGGAACGACACGCGTCCCGCCCAGGGGTATCAACCGCCACCGCGCAACTTGAATCCACCATCTCAGCAGCAGCAGCAGCCATCACAAGCTGCCCCCGTTCGCAATGTCATGGGGAATATGACCATGACGAGCGGCTCTCGTCGCCCGCGCGCGCGCTCACTGTCACCGGAGACAGCACCTGACCCAATCGAGGCGTCCCCGAACAACAATCCATTCAGCACGCGTCACGACTACAGCGACGACGACAACCAGGACTGGAATTTGCCAGTCCCGCTGCTTGAGAGCCCTCCGCACGTACCTGATATGCGGCCGGCACCGATCGATTGGATCGCGCGCGAACAATTTCTGAAGGTCGACACTCCGCACATCGTCA